TCGCTTGAATTCGTTTCTACCTGCATTGCCAGGGAGGCACTATAAGCTACAACACGTCTGAACTCGACCAGTTGACAAAAGCTACGGCTGACTTTGCAGCGAACAACGCGGACCCAAAGGCCAATGTCATTACTGCGTATGGGTACGCACGCGAAGGCGATGTTGGAGAGGTATGACCATTCTCATTGTATTCCGTGATCAATTTGAAGTGGCCCTGCTGGATCTTCTTTTTCGCCATCGGTTGATCGGGTATTCATCGTTGCTGACGGTTTTGGACCACACACAGATGGTCACTGTCGCATTGTTATTCTACGATGCCCCATCGCCACCTGCTGGCATGTTCGATGGGTTCTTGACGAATAATAGTGAGACGGAAGTATTTGCGAGGTCATTCTTGTCGCTCGTACAATCTTCGGGCTCCGGGACGTATGGATTGCGGTGAGCTTCCTCTTCTGCCCCCATAAGACTGATTGGATCAGTGATTGATTGATGACATGGGCAGAGGCGCGTTCAATGGAATATCTGTCCTTGAATACCCAGAGGACCTTTTGCAGGATATGGTGAACGAAACGATCGTAAGTTTTCACTCTGCACCACTGAACTGAGTTTTCCACCTAATGATTTTACCGCCATTCCAGAACCAGGGCAGCACTCTCCCTCTCGGGACAGGTTATGTATCCTTCAGCGCTGAACCATTCCTACCCACTCTCTACAACCATTCCACTTCGCCCTCCGCATTCCCCGGATCGAGGGCATATCCGTTCTGGCCACTCAGCATTGAGTTTGCATGGAGTAACGCAACGGATGACAACGTTATGATTGACGCGATCAAGGACAGCGCAAGGAGATTGAAGCAGAAGGCCGGAGTCAACGTATCGTTGCCTCTGTACGGCAACTACGCGCTTTGGAATACCCCGCTCGAGCAGATATACGGGGACAACGTGGAGAAGCTGAGGCAGATCAGGAAGGAGGTGGATCCTGGAGATGTGATGGGGCTTGCGGGTGGGTTCAAGTTCTGAGCGAGATCAAGGCTATATGACGAGGATTGTTTACATGGGACCGAGTGGAAGAGCCCGACTTTGGGATCATTTGATAGGGACTAGTATGAACATAGAGTATGGACCTTTACGCGAGATGTGTGGTGTGCTTAACATAATCTATTGATGGTGGCACGACGCTGTCCGACACGAAACTACCGAGGATAGGCGGGAGAGGTAGGTAGGTATATCAACTGAGGGAATGTGCTGCTACTCGAGGATAAGAGTGAAAATTTAGCACAGGATGGCAACCGCAGAGAGTCTTGGACATGACTAAGACTTGAGTAGGGAAGAATACTTAAGTACGCCAAGCTAGAGCGTCCAGAGTTGTTGGTGGTGCCTAGACTCAGGCCCTCGAGCAATGGGAAAGACAATGTAAGCTCAATTTTTCGGAGGGCGCGGCACTACGGAGAAGGATTTGTGATCACAGCATAAAGCAGAGGACGTCAACCTGCAGCTGCAGAGGACCATCAAAATCGAAAGTCCGGGTCTCTACGAAAACCTCGCATATCACAGAACTTCGGGAACCTGAAGAGAGCGGTGCATGTCAGTTTCGAAGTCCAAGTATCATCATGCGCGCCATCTTATCTTATCAGAGGTTCTTCAAAGACAAGTAGTCTCCCGTCAACACAACAGTGCCGTCGGCGAGTCACCGAAGACATTTTCTTTATACTTGTCCATCAAAAGTGCAAGAAACGGTGTCAAGTAGCCCGATTGACTGATGGATACAAAACTTCTGAGTCACCCAGGAATTGCGGAGCTCCGTGGTTGGCATGCCGCATGACTTGACAGCATACTTGGCCATCCGCCAGCGAAAGGAGTATCTGAGGACATGGAGTAGGCTCATAACACGACGTTGAGACGCACGACCACGTCCTTCGCCCATAGGAAAACTGCCACAATCCCATCCCGTCATGACATCCCCTGCAGCTTACAACGTCAACTTCTGCTTTCCGGTCAAAGAGCTTGAGAATGATCGCGTCAAGCTCGTCCCGTTCATTGTAAGTAGATCCCATCCACAACTTCGGCCTCCATATTCACCGAACCCTAGGCGGACCTTCATGCGGAGATCTTCTATAAAGGTATCGCCCCCCACCCGGAGCTCTTCAACTACATGCCTGGGACCTTCGGCCCCTGGACTTCCGCCACACAGTTTACCACTTCTTTCGTCGAACCCCTCTATCGCGACCCCTCCCGCTGCCTGTTCGCGATCATCGACAAAACCCGCACCCCAACTCCTGGAGCACCACCCTCAGAAACCGATTTCGCAGGCGTATTGACTTACATGAACACCTCTGCGCAATTTCTGGTAACCGAAATTGGCTTCGTTGTTATTTTGCCAAAATTCCAGCGGACACATGTGACCACCCATGCTTGTGGACTTCTCCTCCAGTACGCGCTCGATCTCCCCAGTTCTCCTGGGGGCGGATTGGGGCTGAGAAGAGTGCAGTGGCAAGCTAGTAATTTGAATGTACCGAGCGTGAAGGCTGCAAAAGCAATGGGATTCAAGTTTGAGGGAGTGCTGAGATGGGATCGGGTTATGCCAGGTGATAGAACGGGGTTAGGGGAGATAAAGCTGAGGGAGGGGGATCCAATGCCAGGGACCTTGAAGAGGGACACAGCGATGTTGGCGGTTTGCTGGGATGACTGGGAGGAGGGTGGAAGGGAGATGCTTTTGAAGAGGATGGATAGGAGAAGTTAAGGGGCCGTGGAGGAGGCTGTTGGGAAGATACGTATCTACTAAAAGACGCTGTGGTCTGGCACACCTTTCCGTATCCGAAATCATAACGGTAAGTTACAGGACCGTCAGTTACAGCGCGTCAGTAAAATTGTACTACTCGAAATCACTACCGTTCAAGTTCCCCACCTTGGGTAGTACATTACTATGCGCCGTGGTGTTACAGGCCACCCCAAGGCCACCCACCGAGCTCTTGCTAGTATTAACAGGAACCCAGCAACTCGGTACATGGTGGGTGCTAGTCTCCCCGAGCCAGACCATTCAGAAGGAAGACATGCAATCGTTCCTTCTGTCTAATGGGTGGGTACAGCGTGGGAGGGACTTCACATTTTCGGCCTCTCGAACTCGAGCGTCGAGGTGACCTCAAATTTTTCCGTTCAGCTTCAAGTTGCGAGGACACTGTGGATATCAGTCAAAATGTACCGTGCTCTACAAATCCTCGAGGTCCAGCGAATGATATGCGATCAAATCACTGCGCCGACTTTGCAAGGGCTGGAAACCTTTGACCAGCCTCACCGTCCCACTCTCTATGCTCTCGCACAAACATGTCGTGCTTTGATGGAGCCAGCATTGGAGAAACTATGGGATCGATTGGACTCGGGCGAACCTCTGCTTGAATGCCTTCCAGATGACCTTTGGCAAAGAGATCACACTGGTACAAAGGGGGAAATCGTGGTAAGTTGGATTTCTAGTTACTTCCGTCATTTGTTGGTGATACTAGCGTTATCAAATAGTCGTTTGCCAGACATCTGAGCGATACGGAGTGGGACGTCCTACAAAAGTATGCTAGGCGCGTACGAAGTTTGCATATAGACTATCGTCGTTCGCCCTCACACGTGCTGTTTCACTTACCGAAACCCCTTTTCCCCAACCTTCGGGAGCTGAAAGTGCTTGAAAGAAAAGACCTGAAGGACGAACGCTCTTGGCGCCATTTCCTTTCCCCCTCAATCACCTCTCTTCACGTTTCCTTGATAAAGGTCAGACAAGGTGTCAAGATAGAGCGCCCATACATGTGGAATCTTGCTTTATTCTGTCCGAACGTTCAGTATTTCAGCCTTCAAATCCAGGCCCATACCATCAACCATGACCCAGCACTTTTTGGCGCTCTCTACCAGTGGAAGCACTTGCGGGCTCTTACAATCCCAGCTGCGAGCCACCAAGTAATGCTTCACCTATCCAAACTGCGAACATTGACATCCCTACATGTCTGCATAAACTGCCGCTGGCATTTCGATGAACAAGTGAAGATAATTTTCCCTCCTACTCTCAAATCGATCACGTTCACTGTACAAGATACCATGGCCGACGCGATACCAGCACTGGCAGGTATGGAATAGTCGGCGAGCAATATCCGGATTACCGCGGATTCGTTTCCCGAGGTTGCGACCCTCCAGCTTTTTAAGATGTTCTCCAGGAACTTCTCCCCTAATCACATCAAATCTCTCGAGGTGTTGTGTCGTAGTCGCTATGGTCAACTTCCCCCGCTTACACGTGACATCATCCACCCGCTCTTCGCTTGCTGCACCCTCCGCACCTTAAACTTGGGATACTTTCCGGCATACGCTGTGGATCAGGCTCTCATATCCGAAATCGCCTCCTCATTTCCGCTTCTCGAGGTCCTCTGCTTAGGGAACAAAAGCGATGATATCTCTGATCCTACACTGGGGTATGACGGCCTTATCACGCTGCTGAAATCATGTCCCAAGCTCCGCCACCTTGGCATTACGTTCGATACCTCCACGATCACGAAGGCAACGATTATGCAACACAAGAACGACAAAGCTCTGAACGATCGCATACGCGTCGTTGACGTAGGTTGCTCGCGCACGGGTGATCCTGCGCTCGTTGCCTTTTTTCTCAAAAAACTCATGCCGCGACTTGAGTCTGTAGGAGGGAATGAGTTGGAACAGTGGTCTGTGGTCTCGGGAATGTTAGCGATGATCGAATTAGCTATGGAGTTGGGTAGGGAGACCACGATGGAACTTTAACTCAAAGTAGCTCGAGATATGGCACACAAGTCACGCAAGAAACGCGAATAGCTTAGGAATTGCACGTCGTGTATTGATACAGTTGTACAAGTAACAAATGCGAGATCGATCTTTGATATCTTGATAGTCACAGTAATTTGATATGTTCCGTTGCCGCATCTCGGAAACATGCTCCATACCTAGTACCGTGGAGCCTCCTATGTTGGTCATAAAATCTGCCATCAGACACGAATATGTGGTCTGATGGCGTAGTTGGTTATCGCATCTGTCTAACATCTGTGCACAGAAGGTCCCCAGTTCGAGCCTGGGTCAGATCAAGCTTTTGCTGCTGGTGCTTATTTTTTTTCCCAAGAAGGGAGCAGGATTTAGAGCCGAGACACTCACCTCTCACGAGCCACCAGGCTGCTCAGGGGTACAACCCCGTTTCGATTCAAGAGCCCCTGACCCTCACTTAGCTCAAATCGGATGCGCATCAGGCGTTGATCTGTACCGCCTGGCGTCCGCCTGCTGGTCGGCATGTGCAATGTGCTGCAATTGCATGTGCCGCAGGGTTCTAGGGATACCCTGGATCCCAGACGCCGTCGTCCGTTGACAATTTGCTTCCTCCTTCACTTTGCCACTGCTGGCCTAAGCACTGGCTGTGCATCAGGCTCACGATGCTCTCGCTCACCCTCCCACAGCCCAGTCCCGTCGAAGCCCTCCATGGGCACAAGGAGATAGTTTGGTCGGTCGTATTCCTGCCAAGTGGAAAAGAACTCGTCAGTTCATCCAGTGACGGAACTGTCCGACTCTGGAACCTCGACGTTGACGCAGAGCCAAGCTCGGTTCTGCAAAGATACGGCGGAGCAGTGTTCTGCCTTGCCCTATTTCCAGATGGCAGGACGCTTGCCTGTGGTGGCCTGGACAGGTCTGTCAACCTCTGGGACCTCGACGCCGGTTTGGTCGTCGCGGGCCCCTGGAAGGGCCACAGTAGCAGCGTCAGATACATAGACGTCTCGGGTGACTGTCGTCACCTTGCCACTGGCTCGTTTGACCACAACGTTAACGTCTGGGATGTCGAAAGCGGACAGATCGTACGAGACGAGTCCAACCTGAAAGGCGATAGGGAAATCAACTGTGCCAGGTTCTCCAGGGACGGTTGCAAGCTACTCACCGGTTCCGGAGACGGTTCTCTCCGTGTTTGGGACTGGGAGTCGGGGAGATTGCTAGTCGGGCCGATGAAGGTTGACGAGGAACCCATTTGGGCTGTCATCTGGTCCCCCGACGAGGACGAAATACTCTCCGCGTCAAGCCAAGGAGTTGTGCGTCGGTGGAACGCCATCACCGGCCAATTCGTCGGAGAACCTGTGTACGCACATGAAAGCACCATATACTCCCTTACTTTCTCGCACAATGGCAAATACCTTGCGAGCGCCTCTAGTGACTACACTATCAAAGTGTGGAATGCGGCCACCTTTGAGCAACTGGCGACTTTCACGCACGGTAACGAAGTCAATTGCGTCACCTTTTCAAACGACGATAGACATATCGCTAGCGCGTGCAGCGATTCCTTGGTGTATATATGGGAAGCACCCCGGGTGGACCAGGGCAGGGAGATCGGGAACTATTCCGAGGACGAATCTCTACTTGATGTGAGCACCATCAGGCTTTCTGGGGAAGGGATAGTGAGCTACTATAACTGACTGTGGCTGTTAGCTTCCGGCCACGGTTCGCGCAGAGGATGTGCTTGAGGTTGAGGAGAGAGAGTTTGAGGGTTCGCAAAGGAACCGAGTAACGTCAGGCGAACTTTTGGATGTAAGTTAGATCCGTGTCCTTCAATACCATGTCCTGAATCGAGAGACAGTTTCCAGCACCTCGCCCGTCTGACAGTGTCAATCGCTTAGAAGAGACATTGAGTGAGGGGCCAATGGAAACGGCTACACCAATAAAACGATTCCTACACCGCTTGAGCTTTTCGCGAGGAAAGCGCCGTAGATCGCAGGTCGAAGATGAGACCTTTTCACAGGAGCGAAAGAAAGGAAAACGAACGATATTACAGAGATTCAAGGCAGCATCCATGTATTTGACCAAGGTGCTTCTGGGTGCTGACACTGGATCCACAGTTCATCATGGTGTTAGGCAATAAACCACGAGCCCGCACTCAATCAAGTACCACGAATGGTTCAACCAAAAATGCTGCCGAGGGAAATGGTGATTCGGACTCGGTAAAGACGGTTGACGATTCGGATCCAGGGAGCGGGCAGGCAGGTTGTTGGAAAGCCTGTCACTAGTTCCTTTCTTGTTGTATTCTATACCTAGGACAAGCGTAGGTGCTCGCCTATGTGTTTGTGTATCTATATATTCGGGACATGGATCGCGGTATTGGCATTGGGAGGGAGAGTTGTCAGGCATTGGTGAGTCTCTGGGGCAAAAGGTTGAGTCCGTCAAAGTTATTGCGCGTCGAGGGCACCTAATTACAGCAGACGATGTCAGTGGATGCTATAATGCGTTCCAGCATTAGGTTAGCATCGTAGCGCATCACCACATAACCCAGGTCACTGGAAAGACTCGCACTCAGTATTCGCAGTCGATGACGGAGCCTGCACCAATAGCTGCCATCTCCTGCATTCTCTTCTCAATGACAGCGTTTACGTTGCTCTGTGCGATGGATTAGTGATGAGCCGAGATCGCAAGATGAAGGCAGCTTACTACGCGTTCGCTGCCTAAAAGCTGTCCAAACTCCTCCATTCTAGCTTCAGAGGATAGATCCAGGATATCGTGGAGTGGTCTTTCATATAGCATGACGAACGCGGCAAAAGCATTCATACCATGCACACTCGCAAGATCTGATTCGCCCTAGGAGGTGGTGGTAAAAACGACAACATGTGCTCGAGCCTCCTCCGACGTACCTCTCGCTCTTCCTCTTCTAGCCACTCCCTTTCTCCCCACAGAACCTCGTTCCCAACGCTGAAAGCCTTGGCACAGGCCTCCTCCCCAAAACACCTCACAAATCTTGCAGACTCTTCGACCCGATTTGAAAATGCCCAGGTGATCGTACATCGCGGATTCATCGTCCCACAACCCTCTGCAATTCCCAGGATCCGTCTGAGTTTCTTGATAGTCTTACATACTGCAGGGGAGTAGGCGTATGGCACCAGCCTTGTGTTGTGTGCATCGCCCACCCTGTAACTCTGTGTGCTTGGATAGGCCTCGAAAATGATGAGCAGCTGAGGATAACGCCACGATTCGCAGGAAATCCTATCAACGACGGATTCAAGCTGTGCTGGAAGTGCTAGCAGTGGTATAAAGAGTACTCCGTGGTCGGGATCGAGAACGATGTCAGTACCACCAAGATCGTATCGTTCTACGAGGGCCGCGCGACAAGCACCGTCCTGCAGGTCGCGCACCAACGCGCGCTTTTGAATGAGGGCCATCGATGCGAGATAACGGTGCGTCGTCGTCGCAGAGATCCATTGTTCGGGAAGGCGGACAGTATGTTGGTCGAACACGTCATCGGGAGTGACTCGCAACGGCGAATTCTCGAGAACTACTGGCACTTTGGGCGATGGTGTGATATCGCGATGCTCAGAGTGCATCGTGATTGGGGAAGCTGGGACCTGGTTGCGGAGCTCGACGAATGCCGAAAACAAGTCTCGAGAAGAGGCGGGAACAACATCGTCTAATCTGCGCCGCTTAGCGACAGTCGTAGATCCAACACCGTTGGTTGGAGCGAGATCGGAGAAATGGCTACCAGTATCGTGAATATTGTCCAAGGTTCGTTGCCGCCTAGAAGAACTATTGTATGCCCTTCCCAACGACTGATGAGTGTGAACGGCTCCAATCGATCGCGTTCGCGAAACAAATGGCAGTAGTTCGAAAGACGGAGCTGGACGATCCAAGGGTTCATTCCTGTTGGGTAGACCGGGGGCCATGTTGATATCCCAGTCGTGCGCTAGCAAGTGTCTGATGCCAGAATCGTTATGGTCGCGTCCAAGCAATCGCTCCTCGATGTTGTCGCCACGCGGGTCCAAGTTTTCTTTATCTTCGCTGAGTTGGTCGATGTTTTCCTTGTCGGCCTCAAGCTCGTCCACTTCCTCCGACAAGTCGCTCTCGAGTCCAGGACCAGGAGGGAAGTCAATATTGGGGGAGTCTGAGGGTGCTTGGAAGCTGCGGGGATATTCATCTCTCCCTGGGCCTGAAAAATCAACGCCCGAATCGTTGAAGCGAGCCATGGGGACATGATGGGTGTGGAAGTTTCGATAGGCTGGTTCTTGATGTAACATGTCGACAGTATTAGTTTGACCTTCGTTACCCCCGAGAAGAAACTCGCTTTGATCCAGCCTGTCAGCTCTTGCTTGATACTGGATAGTTATCTCGTTCTCTTGCTTGCGGCTCCCGCCTTCGTCTTCTTCATCGTCATTTCCGGGAAAGTTCGATATACCGGAGAGTTTCATTCGCTCCCGTTTCGTCAACACATAGTCAAATGGCGGGTCCCTCGGATCTCGCTTTGGAATTGGGCTTGCGCCCAGTTCCTCACATCCGTGGAACATCGCATCGCCTTGTCCAACCTGAGGCAACGCTGGAGAAACGGCGAGGTCCAGGAATTCGCGAGTGTCGCCGTCCTTAGTCTCGTCGACATACTCAGGAGTCTCGTCGTCCAGGCGGAACGTACTTCCGATTCGCGCGACCTCTTCATTGGTAGGTATCGAATTCCCGAATTTAAATGGCCTATAGGGTACGAAACTCTCGTCAGGTTCACTGGACCATCCCACGAGATGATTAGTCAAGGAGAAAGAAGACAAACATCCACGAAAGCTCGAGGGCCAGAGGCTTGACTCCTTTGACCTGTCTCAGGAATGCCGTGGGGCCGGCCCCTCTCCGTCTTCCGATCCCGTCCTGAAGGACAGGTGCCTTTTCGTTGGGTGCTACGAGATTCTCCATCACCTGAAGGAAGTAGGTCGGTTCCTTTGGATGGCCTGTGGGTGGGGGGAGGTCGGGAACTGGATTAACAGACGATTAGTTCACACTTCATCACAGCATATCAAAATAGGGTTGGCGGGCACTCAGCTGCCTGGCGCAACGTCAGTCGAGGTGGCATAGTAGCTGATATCTCACCGTCCATCAACAGAGCTTCCTGCTCATCCAATTTCTCTTCCAAAATGCAAAACATTGGGTCATGCGGAGCGGATGCATATATAGTTGCGACAGCGATGTCGAGGTCTGTCTCTCCCCCGCCTTCTTCTCCAACTGAGGCGGACACATTGGTGTCCTCGCCTTTGAGAGCGGATGGAGGCTGTCCAAGGAGCGAATTCAAGGTGCTCTGGGCCGGCGAGGACAG